TCGTAAACAATTTTTGATTGCTTTGTGGAAAATGGCAACATTGGATTCTTACAGGTATGATTATTTCTTTCATTGCATATTTATGTTTTTTTACTAATATGTAAGTACTTAGATTTATTGTTATTGTTTGCAGATCTATCTGTGATCGATTTAACGTAGGAAGAGCTACAGGTTTGAGAGCCGTTAGAAGGGTAACAAGAGCACTATTTAACATAGCTCACGAATTTATATCTTGGCCATCAGGCGAACAAGCGCAAACAGTTATAAATAAATTCAAAGAAAACAGTAGATTTCCAAACACAATTGGTGCTATAGACGGTACGCACATAAAAATAGAAGGACCTAAAGAAAACGCAGCAGACTATATAAATCGAAAAGGATATCACTCTATTCAACTTCAGGTATGTAAAATTATTAAAGTATTTATAATAATAATAATTTTAGTTGTATATGTAGCGTTATATTATTATTCATCTCTTAATACAACGTACAATTATTTTTTAACTACAAGATTAGAAATGCTATATGCAGTCTGAAGCAGGTCTTGGTGCTTAATAATATTTTTAGTATGAATCTTACAATTTCCAAATCAAATTAATTGCAGACTAATATTTTTGTAATATTTTACATAATAAATTATTCTACAGAATTGTAAAATGCTTTTTAGCACCTAAATTTTGAAATTGCTTATCAATTTATTAAAGTTGTGTTTTAAGACTATCAAAAATGTTCGGCATGCAGTTTATTTGAACTGGAAATTATAAGATTTACAGTAAAAATATTATTGAACATCTAAACTTGCTTTAGACTGCATGTGGCATTTTAAATCTTGTAATAAGTTTAACTTTTGCGATCTCTATTAGATATCATATTAATGTTTATTTTGCAATTATTGGAAGTTTTCTTGAGCTGAGATATTGGATTATTCTTTTAAATCTACAAAATAGTTCATTCTTAACACGAAAAACTACCATTATTATAAAATAAATATTTTGCTGAATGTACTGTTTTATTTTTAATTTTTTTAATTATAGGTTGTGTGTGACTATAGAGCATTTATAACTCATTGTTATGTGGGTCACCCCGGTTCTGTGCACGACCAAAGAGTATTTCGACAGTCAGAAGTGGCAACATATCTGAACGATGAAGCAAAATTTCCATTTGATAGTCACATAGTAGGAGATTGTGCTTATGCATTACACGAACGTTTACTAGTACCATTCAAAGATAACGGGCACTTAAGTGCTGCACAGGAATATTATAATTTTTGTCTATCTTCTGCGCGAATAGTAGTTGAAAGATGTTTTGGTTTATTAAAAGGACGATTGAGAAGTTTAATGTACTGCTTGCCTATGACTAGAGTTGATCTTATGGCTGAATTTGTGGTAGCATGCTGCGTTATTCATAATATTTGTATACTAAATAGAGATGAACTCATGATAATACCATTAACATCAGGTACAGATGCTCCAATGCAAGATCGTTATATTAATCAAAGGCAAGCAGAAGGTGGCAATAATGGAATATATAAAAGAAACATGATTGTGAATATGTTACAAAGAGAACGTAATTAAACTTTATTATTTTTCATACAAATGTAACATATTTGTCTCTGTACAATAAATCTCTGTATAATAAACTCTGTATAATAAACACGAGCAATACAATAAAAAAATAATATAATATTGTCATATATATGTCTGTATTATTATACCTACAAGTAATCTTAGTACAAAAATTAAAAAAAAATACGATTAGTAATTGAGATCAAAATCTATTGCAATTAATTGACAAGGATTACTTAACTCTTAACTTGACTTCTAATTCTTGACTCAGGTTCTTAAAAAATAATAATATTAATCTTTATTAGTTTTAAACTATCAAAAAAAAATGTTTTGTTGAACTTATTGTCTTATTTTTAATTTTTTATTATAGGTTGTGTGCACTCAACCTATAATACAACTTATAATATGCTAAATATATAATAGCATTCTGCGTTATTCATATATTTGTACTCATTTCTAAATAAAATATCTTTTAGTAATTTGTAATTAATGAGTATTTTTAAAATAAACTAATAAAAAAATCTTTCACAGCACAAATATATCACTTGTAAATAATTTTAAATATTAAGTAAATATTAAAAGTTAATATAAACAATATATTACTTATTTAAAAACTGTGTAAGAGTATCAACCAGTTTTGTTTCAATGTTCATTCTCTCATTGTGACGCTTCTGTTTTTTTGCTTCATGTTCCTCTTTTTGTATCAATCTTTGTTGAAGCAGTTTTGCCACTGACGTCAAAGTTTTCGTTTTTGTACCTGAACAATAAATGGAATGTTTAATATTAATTAATATCTAAATATAATACAAAATTACCACAATTACAAATATAATTATATATAAATTTATTTTTAAATTTATAATTATTTTACATAAAATGTTTGTATTTATTAAAATTTAACATACTTTTTTCAGATGTAGCATTTTCTTTATCAGCAGAATCATTTTCAGAAAATGTTGAACAAGTAGGAGAACATTCTTCTGTGTTTACATGTTTAAGTAATTGTCCGGTGGATGAAGCAAGTGCTACGGGATTACACCAGGCTTTTTTTGAAAACATATTATCCATTATCTAGAAAACACAATATTATGCATGTTTATAAAGTAATCTATTTAAATTCATTATTTATAAAAAAAATGAATTTAATAAATTATTTATTGAATAAATTTATATTTTTAAAATTTATTTATCTACATATACACACACACATATATATTTATATATATATGGAAGTATAATTTAATTATCTTTAATATAAATCCTTATATCTCAAAAACTATTTAAAATATAAAATTTACATAAAAATTAAAAAAAATAATTATTTGTAAATTTTATTGTAAATAGTTTTTGAAACATGAAATATATATATATACATATATATATTATGTTTCAAAAACTATTTACAAAAACTATTTTGAAAAATTAAAAATTAGAAATAACAAAATATAAAAGTAGAAATAACAATATGTGCCAATAAGAAACTTACCTCAAAATATTGCCACGTTCGTCGATTATTTCCAGATTGGGAATTGTGGTCCTTAATTGATTTGTAAGTTTTTTTCAAACTTCTAAACTTTGAGGCACATTGTGGCCCTGTTATGTTGTATCCCTTTTTCTTAAATATTTCGGAAATTAATGCCCAACATTTCTTTTGGGAAAATTTTCCACTATTAAACTTTTCTTCCATCTCCTCGTATGTTCTCAATAAGAGGAGTACAGATGCTTCTGGCCATCGATAAAGAGAACCTATATAAATACAATATATAATTAGACATTCCAATCAAAACAATTAATAAAAATAAAAAATAATAATAAAATAAAA